TACTTACAATAATTGAAAATAATATTATTAGAAATAAGAAATTCTTTAAAATAAAATGTAACCAGGTTTGAAGCAATTATTCTTAAGAACGAATGGTCTTATCTCAATAAAGCCAAAAATAAGAATTACTGATAATTATACCCTTTCTCTTGTGTATTCCCCAGGAGTAGGACATATTTGTTAAGTGATTCAAAAGAATCCAGATCTGTTATATGATCTAACAATTACAGGTAATTCAATTGCCCTTTTATCTGATGGATCAAGTAATACGATATATGAGTATATTTATAGGATCTTAAATAAAAAAGGCATCATGGATGATTCCTAATCTTGAAGCTATCAGTGCATTGTATAAAGCCTTCTATGATATAGATGCTTATCCTGTAATATTGGATAAGGGAATAATGAATGGTTCAGATGACTATATACTTCTCATAGACAATTTATCTACAACATACAAAGTAATCTTATATATCTATTTTTAGACTATAGTATTAGTGGATATTGAAGAGAAGTTAACTTAAGAACTTTTATAGAAATTAGAAAGTGTTCAGATTGATTGTACTGTTGTTATTAGTAACACTCATAGTCTAAATGATTAATTAAAAGATGCTGCACTTATCAAAAGTATCCTAGATTCTCGTGCTATATTGAAACCAAGTCAAATTGAATTAATTAGACAAAAAGTCAAAGGATTAGATTTTTCACAATTACCTAGTTATTTAACAGCAACTCTTAGTTCTACATATGCTGTTAGTTTAAATGAAATACATAGAAATAAATATTTTCATCATACTGTATAAAATGTAACACCTTCATAATTGGTATCAAAATTAAATGATTTGTATTTGTATGGAGAAATAGCATATTATAAGAGATGGACATCTAAATAGTTTTTATAAAATAATGATATTAATAAGAATTCATTAGAATTACATAAGAGATTTAATGGTGTTATTACTATAGCATTAAAGTTTAATCCAAGATCTTTAGAAGATTTATATAGGATTTATGAATTATCTTATAGAAATAATGATATTTTAGAAATTCAAAAGTTATTTGAAGCAGATCCTAGGAAAATACGTGAAATAACTATAAAAAAGAATTATGCTGCAATAGTAACAAATGGAACAGCAATTCTTGGATTAGGTAATATTGGACCATCTGCAGGATCTCCAGTAATGGAAGGTAAATCTGTTTTATTCAATGCTCTTGGTGGAATAGATTTAATGCCAATATGTTTTAAAGAAAAAGATCCTCATAAATTAGTATAACTTATAAGATAGTAATTGATAATTGATAATGATTTAGTATCGCTCCAATATTTTCAGCTATTAATTTAGAAGATCTTAGAGCACCAGATTGTTTTCCTATAGAAGAAGAAGCTATTCATAATATACATATTCCATTGATGCATGATGATTAACATGGAACTGCTGTTGTTAGTTTAGCTGCACTTATTAATTATTTGAAATTAACTAAAAAAAATGTTAAAGATTTGAAATTAGTAATTAATGGAGCAGGGTATTTATATTAATAATATTATAAAAGTGCTGCAGGTGTAGCAATCTGCAAATTACTTTATGGTCATGGAATTTAAGATATACTCATTTGTGATACTGAAGGAATTATATATGAAGGTAGACCTAAAAATATGAATTCATTTAAAAATGATCTTGCTAAATTCACTAATTAAAATAAAATTACTGGTAAACTCATAGATGCTGTTAAAGGAAGAGATTTATTTGTTGGAGTATCTAGTGCTGTATATAAATATTATAATTAATTAGGGTGCATTAACATAAGATATGATACGTACTATGAATAAAGATCCATTTATATTGGCTTTAGCTAATCCTATTCCTGAAATTATGCCAGATGAAGCTTAATAAGCAGGTGCTTTTATTATTGCTACAGGAAGATCTGATTTTAATAATTAAGTTAATAATTCATTAGCTTTTCCAGGTATCTTCAGAGGAGCTATTGATACTAAAGCTAAAGAAATTAATTTATAAATGAAAGTATCTTACATATATTAATAAAATAAGATTGCTGCTGCATATGCAATTGCAAATAGCATTAAAGATAATGAATTATCACCAATTAAAATATTACCAGGAGCATTAACTGCAGAAATTCCAGCTAATGTTGCAAAAGCAGTTGCAATTGCAGCTATGGAAACTGGTGTAGCATAAGTTAAAGTAGATCCAGAAGAAGTTTTTGATAATGCAAGAAAATTAATAATGGAAGGAAATATACCAAGTTTATGATTTAAAATGATATACAAATAGAACAAATCAAAAATTTGCTAAATAAAATTAATATAAATCAATTTACGAACTTCGCACTTCCTGTCTTATGTTATTGAGCTGCTCCTTATCCCTATTCTGCTGGTTTTAAAATTTAGAAAGAACACATTAAAGATTCATCAATTGACATCATTGCACCTATTATTTTAATATATATCTAATACCAGCATTATCAAATTCTCCACAATAATTTGGTGCTGAAAATAAAGTGACTAATTATCTCTTAGAAAAGAATTCATATCCATCTTCTACAACCTAAAAAAAATATATATTATTAATTATAATACTTAATGGGCTCTACAAATAAGATCTAATTCATGTTTTTTTAAAAAGACTTATACTATTTCTTGACTGAATACATATGAAACACCTCTTTCATTATCAGCCCAACCTTAAACATCTTTGTCTGGATCTGACCATAATAAATCACATAATAATCCAGTATCTGGTACATCAGTTGGTCTCATTATTCTTCTTATTTATTCCAAATTTGAAAGTTCAGGTGATAATCCACCATGCATACATAAAATTTTTTCATCTATTAAAGCTGCAACTGGTAAACAATTAAAACAATCTGTGAATGTTTTCCATAATTTAATTGTGTATCTTCTTTTACCTATTTCATTGATTTAATTCTTACATTCATCATAAAATCCATAGATTCTATTGATTGATGCACATTCATGATTACCCCTTAAAAGAAAGAAATTTTCAGGATACTTAATTTTATATGCTAACAATAAACATATTGTCTCCAATGATTATTTCCCTAATATTAACATTCATTTAAACCTCTATCCACATAATCTCCTAAGAATAAATAATTGCTTTCTGGTGGATACCCTCCGTATTCAAAAAGTCTTAACAAATCAAAATATTGTCCATGTACATCTCCTAAATTTTATTTATTAATTAAATATATACCACATATTTTTAAAGGTGCTTCCAATTCTAATAAAATAGGTTAAGATATGAAAATATCTCTTGCTTTTATGCAAAGACCTCTTACTTCAGCTTCACTAAGATTCACATTCTTTCCTGGCTTACTACCCCTTACACTTAACAATCTTTCAATTATATTGTCCACATCAATTTCACCTTTACCATCCTTATTCATTAATATAGAAATTAATATTAATTCAATTAATTTTAATTAATTTAATTTATTTTCTTTTATTAATTATAAGAATGTATATTAATTATATGAATGTATATTAACAAACTAATCAATTTTAAAATAATATAAATAAAATTGATTTCATTCATCAATTTATTATTTCCCTTTATTCCTCAAAACATTTAATCTTAAATCTCAATTAATTTCCCTGCAATTCTATATATAACTACCTAAACCATAGTATTAATTAAATATAATAAGTCAATTATGTTGTACCATAATTATTTAATTTGACTATGTATATTGCTCTCACCTTATTATGATAAAATTCTCTACATAAATCTGGAATTAATTTCGATAATGGAAGCTATATTATCAAATACTAATGGAAGTTCATAAAACTATAAATTTTTTAACTAAATCTAGTTGATATTTGTACCTGATTTTCATAAAATTGCTTCAACCATTAGGTAAATATCATTTCAACAATTAATGTCATGTTAAATTTAAGGTTTATCTCCTGTAAAATAGATAATTTTTTCATTATCTACAATTATAAACATTCTTAGTTTAACTTTAAGTTTCATTTTTATTAATAGTTATAATATAATTTATGGTCCATAAACATCTAGATTAAGAAATTCTCAATTAGATTTCATCCATCTAACAAAACTGCTGATTGAAGAAAAAATTTAGATTATTAAATCCTTCCACATGCTAATATAATTGGATTATTATATCTTAATTAATTTTTAGCTATTTAATGAGTTCTGAAACTCCATCAAAGAAATACTTTTATTATTTCATATACTCTCAAATAGCAAACACTAAGATTATTAAGACTTTATAATTTAAGTATTGATTCTTTTATTTAAATAATTATTGTAATTGGAGAGTAAATTTTTATCTATATTTTTTTGTTTATATTAAATAATTAAATTAATTAATTAATCTAAGGTTTATTAAGAATTATAGGAATCAAAAAAATTGTTTTTATTAGAGAAATTATAAAAAAATTTAAGCAGAATAATTTAAAAGAAGAGATTTAACCATTAATAACTAATTGAAACAAATTTTATCATTTTCTTTTTAGCTTTTATTCTGAACTTTATTTGAAGATTGGTTTTAATCTTCGATCCTATTTATTGATTTAATGTTTATACTTTTTCTTGCATGATTGTAGAATATTAAAAATGTCCTTAAAGTTCTTCAACTCCTTAAATCCTAGCATAAGTGATTTAACAAATCTATATAATAAAATAGATAACTATACTTTTTCTGAATTAAATTTACTCCATTTTTTATTATGGAATTCAAGATAAAACTTTGGAATGTCTAAAGGATTATAAAAATTGATAAATGCATATCCCACATTACATTTGTTCTATTTTGAATTAATTAAATTTTTTACTGTAAAGTCAATAGGTAAATAAAAAAAATTGTATGTATCCTTATTATTACAGTCTATCTCTTCAAGGAGGAGAGGTTAAGAATATTTATTTGGTATATTTTTTATCATTAAGGTTGTACGATTATCTTTAGGTATCTAGGATAATAACATTGAAATTACATTTTGTAATTGAATTTAGAATTAGGTTGTTTGTTATTAAGGTTCATAGCGTCTTTTATTTTTAAATTGAAACATTTAAAAAGATGTGGGCATAGTTGAACTAAATACTTCATCCCAACCCAAAGAAGATCCACTAAATGATAGATTCATTTCCTAAATCTATTAATTTGAGTTTTTAGATAAAGTTTCAGGCAGAGTTGATCCATTAGAATAAATTGTTCTAGATCTATTTTTTATTACAGGTTATGATGGTTGTTGATTTGTAAATTAATCTACATCTTCCTCATCATCAATATTTAATTACTATATATTTAACTTAAAATTACTTTTAAACAATCTTAAACTTAATTTATTTAGGAGGTCTCCTCTTTCTTTTGTCCTGTTGGTTTTACGAATTGAGAAAGGACATTTGGGTCAATCCTAAATACAAAAGGTTTCATTATATTAAATAAATATTATATTTCAGAAATGCAATATATTTATCACATGCTATAAATAAATATTTCTTCTAAAATTTTAATAATGATTTAGTTCTAAATTCATCAATCAACATCATATAAATTACTTTAAAAGAAATATAATACAGTTAATTTTGTAGATAACATTTTCATCTAGGAATTAAAATGCTTTTTTTCTTTATTATATAAATGTATTTTTATTTGTTTGATGGTTTTTTGTAAGATTTTAATAAATATAATAAATATAATAATCTCACCAAAGTATGAATACTAAATTATTGTTTAAAATAATCTTCAATATTTAAGTTTTTATAAGGAATATAATTAATGAGAATTACTTTGATAGATAACTTAACAATAATTGCTCATTCATAACACAGGAATTCAGGAGAAGATGCAATAGCTAAGCTTTGGGCCATTATACCATACATTTAGTATTTATCTTTATTATTACCATAACATGGATGGCAATATTGGGAATACAGCGATGGTTATTTAACTGTTATATCAAAAGCCTCATCATATTTGACAATTACCCCTTTTTTTGAATTTCAAAATAATTTCATTTACTATCCATTTACTATTTTTAGTCTCATAATACTATTGGGTGTATTATTTTACTTATCTTTTTTCAGTTTAGAAGTGAATTCAAATAAATAAAAGGTTAAGTATTTAGAAGAAAGGACTAGCTTATTTTGTTCAATTATATTATTTACAATTTAAACACTATAAATACCATGTTATAAGTTTTATATCTAGTAAATAATAGATGCTAGCAATAAAAATGAAACAAATCAATTAATAATCAATATTTGTGCACTTATTTTATATTGTGTATATGTTTTTGTTTGTGAATATTTTTTAAGAATTTACTCATTTATACCTTATCATCCAATGTAATAAAAATTTACAAAATTGAGAGGTTCATTAATATTATTAAATTTAGTTGCTATTGTCTTAACTTTAGACAATCAATCACATTTATATAATCTAATTGGTTTATTTATTTTACATATGATATTTATCATTAAAATTTTAAATCATTTATACTATTAATCAGATGTTCCTCATAAAAATATGATGGATTTTTAAATCTCATTTACTTTAGAATCATTAGCAATCTTAATTACGTTAAATGTTTCATCTAAAAATGAGATTTTTCCTGAAAATTAAATTGCCATTTATATTTTATTTATCTTGAGTCTTGGATTAATTTTAGGTAATCATTTATTCTAGTCTCTATACAAATATAACTTTATTAAAGAAATAAGATATCTTAATCTAATTTATGAAATGTACTCATGTATTAGTAACATCAATTCCAATTCTATAACTATATAACATTTACTCATCTATCAATTAATTAATGATGATAAATTTAGTAAATTTAAATAAAAGGCTTTAATTAGTAATAAAAGTATGAAGATGATAGATTATTATAAATTAGGAATGTATTTTATAAGTGAAATCTTTCTTGATTTAATTAATGAATAAAAAAATGATGTGGAAGAAATAGAATTATTATTTGTATCTTTCTTAGTACTTATTAAGAAAAAGCCACTTGTTGCATATGTTGAATTTAAAAAATTTGAATAAAATAATAGTTATAAGAAATCTTATTATTTTGATTTTATAAAAAAGAGAATTGATCAACATTTTTAAAAGAGAGTTTAAGCTGCTCAAAAGATTTATTAAAATAAAAAAATGCATTCAATAAAAAATAATAGCAATAATGAGAAAAGAATTAGTACTCGTGAACTTCATCAATTTTGTAAATTGGAAGAGGATATGTAAAAATCAATTTTGGAAATAATTTAATATAAAATACGTATTTGGGAATTTTAAATATAAGGATGTTAATCAATTTATGATTTTTAAGATTTTGCACTTCCTTTAAGTAAAAAAATAGTAGACTGTATTTTATATTTAAGAGGATCATAAATAAATGTTGTAAAAGAAGAATTTATAAAAAATTGTGAAAATATTTTAACTTTGAAGATTTGTTCAATGTTTTTTAGTTTTGTTTTGAATGATTACTATAATTCTTATTATTGTGAATAGAAACTATCAGATATAATGAAAAAAGGAACAATTTTTTAATAGAATACTTAATCAAGATCGAATATTTTACAAGACAATACTGTTTTAGTAATAATAAGTATGGTAAGATAATTAGGATCAATTTTAAATATAAATAAAAGTTAATTAGCAAATTATTTTGGCTATCGTTCGATTGAGTTTAATTAAATTAATAATATTAAAGATTTGATGCCTTAACACTTTGCCTAATAACATGATGGTTTTCTTCAAAGTTATATAAAAGAAGCCAAAACTGATTTAGTGTTTAAAGATGTTAGAACATTTGGAAAAGGTAAAAATGGATTTATAATGCCATAATATCTTAATATATATAACAACTATGAAATTTTTGATGACTTTACTGTTGTTGGTAGTTTAACAAAAATAAAAGAATCTCATAATTATTTTTTATTTGATGAATTTGGTAAATGTATTGGTATTACTTAAGAAATGAGTAAATTATTAATACCAAAAGAAAATTTAGAATATTTTATATAAAATATAGATTATTTTTATATTTATATGTTTATTCCTCATATACATATGTATATAAATGATATGCTTTAAAATAATAACATTTAAGAAGGATGGATGTTATAAAAATCAGTTATTGTATATGTTTATTAAGATTTGATTTAATTATCTAAGATTCATGAATCAATATTTTAGACTTATTAAGCATAATCATAAAAATGTATTGAATAAACTAAAACATTTACTTAATTTGAATATCTAAATTCAATGATAAGCAGTCCTAGAAATGGATAGAATTCAAGATTGATAACAGATTAAAAGTCATATTAGAATGATCATTTGATGTTTGAAACTAATAGATAAACTAATAGCGACTCATAATAATAGAAAAAAGGAGGTTTATCAAATTTACTTTAATAGAAAGAGTAATAGATGATAGAATTTTTAAATGCTATTGATGTAATTCTATTTCTATCTTTAGGAGTTATAAAAAACCCTGTATTTGTGTACTGTTAAAATACAAATGGTTGATATAGGTAAAAAAGGATACAAATAAAATTATTTTATTTTAGATTGTTCTGATTTTGTAGATAAAGGTAATTAGTAAGATGATGACAAAAAGTAAGTGAAAATTAAATAAAGTTAATTGCGTAATATAAATATTCGAAATTTTAATAGAAAATAAAGTTTATTATAATAGAGTAAAAAGAATCCTGATTAATAGATGGATTCTTCATTAATAAGTCCAATGGGATCTTAAATATAACAATAAAGTTTTCTGGAATAGAATTCTGGATCTAATTAGATTTTAAGTTATGTTTTTTAAAAAAGATCAAGTTAAATAGGTGCAATAGCTTAAGTAGAATCTGAAAGTATTCATGATGAAGTGATTAGTTATGATTTTAATTAGATTATGTAAAAAAATGATGAATAAAAATCTAATAAAGGACCAGTACTAAAATCTTAATCTAGTTGTAAATCAGGTTCATCTGGATAAACTGCTATTGAGATAGTGAATAATTTTAAAACTTAGACTTCTTTAATCTCTAGTTTAACAATTATTTCAATCTTAAAATTTTTAATACTATTGTTATTTACTATTTTTATGTCAATTAACTTGGCTTAGATTTAAATATTTAATAATTAAGTAATGAATTTTATATCTGATATCAATCTACCAATTAATTTTAATAAATATTTTTTAAATGTATTAACTCATTGTTGGATAATTGAAATGAAAAAAATTTAAATTCTAAATACCAGTTAATTTATTGATAATTAACTTTAAGAATAAAGAATTAATATGCAAAGTACATTTTAAAATCTTACAAATATGTTTGGAAGTTTTATAGCATTGGAAAAGAATCAATATTTAGATAAAATTTAAATAATCCATCTAGAAGATAATTTTAAAATAGAAGATACAGAATTTACTGGTTACCTTTATTATCTTGAATAAGTAGGTTTCAGATTGATGCATAGTGATAATGAATAAACTTATTTAAGTAATCTTTTAAAATATAGGATTAATTTTGGAAATATTATAAATAATAATGAAAAAGTTGTTTCTTCATTAAGTTCTTATTTTAAAATTTAATAAGATGGAAAGATTTCAACATTCTTTAATTCAATTTTAATATAAGTAATTATTATAGGTATAATTATTATATCATAATTATTTTTTTGGAGAAGATTAGAACTTTATAGTTAAAGAATTCTTATGTTATCAAATCGACTAAGTGAAAAAGCAGCAGAAACTTAAATTAATAAATTCAAATTAATTATTACAGTATTAAAGTAATTCTATGGCGAATATGGTTATAAATAAAGAAATTGTTATAAACTTTGTTATACTGATTTTACAAAAAAGAAAACAGATCTTAAATCAATAACAAGAATGAAATTTCGATAATCTGTTTTAAATTAAAACATTTAAAAATAAGTAGAAATTTCAAATAAGAAATCTACATAATCTACTATTCCTTTAAATTCTAGAATATAAAATGCATCAATTAAACTTATTATTAAAAGCATTTTAGTATTTTTTTTAGCCATTATGATTATTTTGTATTTCATAGGTTGTTATTTGATATTTAAGGATTAAACCTTTAAATTAGCACCAACTCAAGATTTAGCTATGGATTATATAGCATTTTATATACATTTTGAAAATACGATTGCAATTTCATTAATAATAAAATCAGAATAATAGATTTATAATTTCATGAAGGAGATGATTCCAACTTCAGCAAATATTATTAATAATTATTAAAATAATTTGGATACAATACCTCTTCTCTTAAGTACATATAGTTTTGATCATACAGATTTCAATGATATTTATAATAATATTATATAATCAGATGCTATGAATGGAGATGACGAAACATTTATTTTAGGTTTATATAATGGAGACTTTTGTTAGTTTTTTTAATCTGATATCCCATTTTGTAATAGAGATTTAAGTTAAATTGATTTTTCAAATTAATTTGGAGAATTTTCAAATAAAGATAATAATTCTGAATATCTCAAAAAAGGAATCTCTGGTATGGTTAGTAAAATGGATAGTTTTCTTACTTAATATTTTGAAACTGAAATTCTAACAGGAAATGCAATTAATGACTATGAATTATTGAATAATTAAATAAACACTTAGGATTTTAATAACGTTGTTATTTAATATTACTTTGATACTTATTTAGGATTTGAAGCTTTTATTGCCAAAATGTAATAATGCTTAAACAGTTTAATTTAAAATTAACAAGATTAATATAACATTTATTAAATTACAGTTGGAATCATTTTTATTTTATTTCTCTTCTTTTCATCAGTTTTTATAGTAGTGAAAGTGAATCTAAGATTAATTTATATTAGACTATTAATCACTCTTTTACCAATTGAAATTATGCTTGACATTTATACCATATCTTTGTTAAAACTCTTAAGATGAATGATAAAAATTAATTTCTTTTTTTATATATAATCATACTTTATATTTTAATTAATAAATATATTCTCCTTAAAAATGCTTATTTTATTTATTTCTCTAACAATAACTTTAGGATTGAATACTTCATTAATTATTCATAAAACAGTTTATTCTATGAATATTTTGATGAATCCTCAGTAACAAACTTTTTATTAGCACTTTGAAGGTTTTGGTAAAATATTGTAAAATTCTTTATTTATTTGTTTAGATCAATCAAATTTATAGGAAATGATATTTCAAAGACTTTCTGTTAACCTTTTTATTAAGGAGCTTAAATAATAAATTAACCAGAAGAATTTCTGCCATTATTAACTGATTATTAAACTAATAAGAATTTAGATTACCTCACAGAAAATGATTTGTATATAGGATATAATGAAAATTTTATTTCATAAGCTAAAAGTCCAGAAGGAATTTGTATCCTCTCTTCATTAGGAAAAGTCTATTTAATTGATTAAAAAGGATATGATTAAATTGAAATAAAAAATCATACCTTACCTAATTTTACTACGAATTAAGGGATAGCAACATTAATTTATGATGAAAAATCGAGATTCTTTTTTGCTCTTTTAAAAGATCAATTAATAAAATTTTAATTTTAAAAAGACTAATTACATTCTATTTTAATTTCTAATTGGGTATCTCCATAAAAAATAATGAGATTTGTAGCTAGTAATGGTTGGCTTTATTGTGCTTAAGAAGAAAATGGTTTGCTTATCTACAAAATTTTTCATAATGAAGTTAAATTAATTAAAACCATGACATCATAAGACATATATAATAAGACTCTAGATAGTTTTTAAATTGTGGATATTGCAGTTATAGATGATAAACTATATATTTTAGATGCTAAAAATGGAATAACATTATTTAAAATCTATTTTAATGGAACCTTTATTAGAAATGAAGATTTTCCTATGATTAATCTATTAAATGGTTATTCTTTTACTGTTGAAGGACACACAATTATTGTTATTAAAAACTTTAAATCAAGTTCTTAAGTTATAGAATATTACTTAAATGATAACGAATGGTTAGAAATCAGAAAATATTATACTAGAAACAAATTACAAAGGGCATATAGAATTGATGATAATTTGTTTATAATTAGAGGATTACATAATCATATGATTTTAATAACAAAAATGTCAGAATAATATTTAGATAAATAGAATCATTAATTGTATATTCTGTATTTTTAATTAGGGAAAATTATTTTTTTAATAGGAATTTATTAGCTATAGAAACATATGGAGAATAAAACAAAACTATTTTAGCCATATCTCCTTATGGATTTTATTTTTTAAATATTTAGTATTTTCCTACAACTGTGGTTTGCAATAGTAATGATGCTTAAGCAGGATAATATAATGCTTAGGTAAATGATATCTTTATAGATATTAGATGACTCTGATCAGTACAGACTGTGAGGAAAAAGGAGATTCAATCGATGATTTACTTTATTGTTAGACTAATTTAAATTATAATTTTGAAATCTAAAGTTCTCTTATACCAACTTAAGATTTCTAGTTATATCTTTATATTGGAATTGCCATATTTTTATTAATTATTGGATACTACTATTATAGATATAAGTAAAAATTAAGAATATGTAGATAATGATAAGAGAAGAAAGAATTATACCAAATTAACTAAAATGATAGTTTTATTTTATTTTCTGCCATTCAAAATATAAATTTGCACAAACTTTAAAATTATTAAATTTANTAATTTTAAAAAGACTAATTACATTCTATTTTAATTTCTAATTGGGTATCTCCATAAAAAATAATGAGATTTGTAGCTAGTAATGGTTGGCTTTATTGTGCTTAAGAAGAAAATGGTTTGCTTATCTACAAAATTTTTCATAATGAAGTTAAATTAATTAAAACCATGACATCATAAGACATATATAATAAGACTCTAGATAGTTTTTAAATTGTGGATATTGCAGTTATAGATGATAAACTATATATTTTAGATGCTAAAAATGGAATAACATTATTTAAAATCTATTTTAATGGAACCTTTATTAGAAATGAAGATTTTCCTATGATTAATCTATTAAATGGTTATTCTTTTACTGTTGAAGGACACACAATTATTGTTATTAAAAACTTTAAATCAAGTTCTTAAGTTATAGAATATTACTTAAATGATAACGAATGGTTAGAAATCAGAAAATATTATACTAGAAACAAATTACAAAGGGCATATAGAATTGATGATAATTTGTTTATAATTAGAGGATTACATAATCATATGATTTTAATAACAAAAATGTCAGAATAATATTTAGATAAATAGAATCATTAATTGTATATTCTGTATTTTTAATTAGGGAAAATTATTTTTTTAATAGGAATTTATTAGCTATAGAAACATATGGAGAATAAAACAAAACTATTTTAGCCATATCTCCTTATGGATTTTATTTTTTAAATATTTAGTATTTTCCTACAACTGTGGTTTGCAATAGTAATGATGCTTAAGCAGGATAATATAATGCTTAGGTAAATGATATCTTTATAGATATTAGATGACTCTGATCAGTACAGACTGTGAGGAAAAAGGAGATTCAATCGATGATTTACTTTATTGTTAGACTAATTTAAATTATAATTTTGAAATCTAAAGTTCTCTTATACCAACTTAAGATTTCTAGTTATATCTTTATATTGGAATTGCCATATTTTTATTAATTATTGGATACTACTATTATAGATATAAGTAAAAATTAAGAATATGTAGATAATGATAAGAGAAGAAAGAATTATACCAAATTAACTAAAATGATAGTTTTATTTTATTTTCTGCCATTCAAAATATAAATTTGCACAAACTTTAAAATTATTAAATTTATATTATAATTATCTATCCTAATTATACATCTTAAACCACTTAATTAATAATTTTAGATAAATCAATTAACTTTTATTATAACAATTAAACAATAAAATATTATAAAATTTAATTTATCTAAATCCTATTTTTCCAAGAAATCTGTTTTGTTTAAATTGTAAATAGGCAAATTTGGTTTAGAATTAATCTAAGTGTGAGATCAAGAATTAAAACCTTAATTCATTAACAAGAATATATTTATCAGGATGAAAATCATAAAAAATTACCATAGATATGGTTATTGTTATTGAGATTAGATTTTAAAATTAAATTTTATATTCTGTTCATAAATTTATAAATATTTTAGAGATAAAAAATGGAAGGGAAGTCAAAGTCAATAATATTTGATTAATTTTTCGGATACCTTTCTTATATTTATAAGGTTTATTTATATTAACTAGAGAAAAGCTAAAATTCACTCATATATCTATTATTTTGACTTTTATTCAGAAATAAATATAGAATTTGAGCAATTCGTTTTTAAAATAGTCAAAACTTATTTATCAAATAATTTCTTACTAAATAATAATCAATATTTTTATTTTTTTTTTCCTTAAACAAAAAACAATAATAAATTAGACCATATTTTATGAAAATCTAAGATATTTATATGATATTAATTTTTAATATTAAAAATTTATGTTGATTATTACATTTAAACATTGGGAATAGTGATCTTGATCTTGAAGATTAACTTTCTTTTTTCAGAATATTTTTTTAATTATAATTATATTATTATGTTATATTTCTTTATATTTATTTTAATTTAAATAAGTTATGTTAAAAATTATTATGATAATTTATTTCATTCTAGTTTTCTTAGTAAGGCCAATGTATGTTATTCAGTTAAGACTTCAATAGGCAAATTTGTTAGAATTAATCTTAGTAAAATCAATCTTTGGTTCGAACTATATATCCAATATCCATAAAAAGTAAGAAAAATAAGTAACAATAAAAATCCTGTTATCAAATAATAGTAATATGATTAATAAAGATTATCATTAGTTATTTTATTTATAGCTTACATTAACTTATCAAGGAACAAGTTTGTACCATCAGTTGTATCTAAAAAATGTTCCATTATTGAATTCGTAAATTCTCTTGATACTAAGATTTGTTTTGTTATTTTTTTATCTGGAAAGTATTCAGTATTATTAATTTCATATTAGTAATTCTATTTGAAAAATGTATCCAATTTGCTTACTATTCCTTGTATACCTTTACTTAGATATTCTCTATTGTCATCTTAAATTTCTGGAGTTCCATATAATTAATGAAAATTATTAATTTTATCAAAATTACAAAAGGGAACATCAGAACCAATTTTTAAACAAAAGTCTTCTTAATATAAGGAAAGCAATATTTTGGAGTCTTCATAAGTTATCTTATTTGATTTGATAATATTCTCATAGATTAAAGTAATATTCTCATAATAGATTGAATATAAAGAAATAAAAATTTTGATAATTTTTCTCTAATCTCTAAATTTTTCTATTTCAGAGGAAGAATATATTTTCATTTCTATTAATTTATCATATAATAGTGGTTACGATTTAGTAATTAAAGCAGTACTAACTACAATATCTAATTAAGATGTAAATCTGATAAAATTTAAAGTTAATTATTAAGTTGGTAATAAATCAGTCTATTATTGTTTGAATAATAAAAATCCACCTAAAAGGTAAACTAAAAAAATAATAAAAGTTATTATAGTTAAAATAGTAGCTTTTAAAATTGTTGTGTTAGGATTATTAATTTTAGAATTCAATGCAACATTAAAATTTTTTTTGAGATTTCTTTGTCGCTCTTCAAAAACTTAATTTATTTTGAGTTATTAGCTTATTTAAGAATTTTGACATTCTTTCAAGACTCTTGATTAACTTTGAATAGTGTCTATTCCAATTTCATTTAATGGTAAAAATAATAATTTATAGAAATTTTATTTTTTCCAACATTATTTTCCTGAAAATTATTTTAGAGTTTCAATAACAAAAGTAAATCTTAAAATCATCTCTTGAGCTTGATTATATTGTAGTTTTCCAGTTAAAATTAAGATTTATTAACAATATTATTCAATTTATTTCCAATAAATTAATTAAGAAATTAGTATTAAGAACAAAAATATAATTTCTAAAATTATTTGTATTTAAAATTCTTAAAGATTATCATGTTATTATTTGAAATAAACTTCATTTAATGAATCAATTAATTATTAATTCATTACAACTACATTTTTAAGGTTGTATCTTAACATTAATAGATTATCTAAATAATTTCTATCAATAATTTGAATGAGTGTCTTAACATCATATTTAAGAGCTTCAAATAAAGTATTTGATACAGCTGAAATCAAATTGATAAAATAAGTATAAGTTACATTTTCATTTTTCTAATAAAGAAAGTCTAAACTAATAAAGCTTAACATTCCTGAATCTTCAATACCTATAAAAATATCATACATTTTTGTTAAATTAATAAAAACAACTTAAGCTAAATCATTCATTTCTGAAATTGTTGATTTAATTAAAAAATCACTACTTTCTATGATATCAAGTGTATTAAACACAAGACTCCAAGTGTAAGTAAAGATCTTAAAAAAATATCGATTAAATAAAGTTGGTCCATTAATGTTTGCTAATGTTAATTAAGTTTAATTTGTATAAAAATTAAGTTTTATCAAATGAGCAATTATATATCCTATAATTATAATAATTATTAAAATATTTATAAAGGCTAGTTTTTTTAAACTATCTGTCATTTATTTATTCTACTAAAATTTTTTAATTGTTGAAATAGCTGAAACCCCAGAAGTTCCAGATGTAATACTTGATTTTGATTTTTTTGCATCTCTATCAATATCTTCAACTTATAAATTTAATTTATTATTTTGAAAAATTTCTATAATGTTGTGACTTTTTTAATTTTAGTCTTTACTATTACTTTTTATTCTTGAAGAATCAGGTATTTCAATATCTTGGTTAGGATCCTAGTTCATATAATCTAATTAATTTTAAAGATCTGTGAAATCTTTTTCAATAAGTTCTTACATTTATTATTGTTTAGATGATGGACTTATAAAATTAATTCTTTATGAAATAGGTCCATAACTAACACTATCTCTTACAGATTCCATTCCTAAAATATCATTATATTATTATTATTATTTTAATTCATATTTACTGATAAGTCTCTAAAAGAAGGGTTTGGATAAATTAGAAATATTCGGAGTTACTTCTTCTTTATCAACCTTAAATGTCTCAACAGTATTAAGGTTTAAATCAGCTGTATTGAAAACTAAAAATGAAAATCTAAGACAACATACATTTGTTTGTTGTTTAAATTGAAGTTGTATATTAATTATTTATCAATGATTCATTGGTTTTGAATAAATCATCTACTTTTTTTAAATCATTTATTTCTAAAATAAAATAGCATTTCTTCTATGTTTTTTTACCTATTATTTTATAATTTATATTCATTTTTCCTATAAAATGAGTAGTACTTTTTATCTAAATTTAATCAATTTATTACCTATAATGATTGGAGAATATTTTTAAATTAATTACCAAGTGATGTATTATAAATTGGTAAAGATTATAAATTCTACAATCTTTTAACTTTTTTTTATTCTCCTTCAAATTTGCTTTATTATTAATTTATTTATATTTCTACTTTTTCTCTTTCAATAAAAGTATTCGATACTTTTGATTTTATATGACTACTTTCATTATAATAAGAATTCAATTTCGAAGAGTAATATTGAATTTTTTATGAATTTTCTAATAAATCTTTATTATTTGCATATTTCCAGATTTTTAAATATTTATCTTATTAATTTAAGAATTTATCTTTTCCATAATTATTTTTAAGTTCATTCAATAATTCCATAATATTACAAATAATAAAAAAGATATTTAATTAATTAATATTTTCCTTTTGAATTTAAAAATTTTAATCCTCAGAATTAATAATTGTAAGAAAAAAGTTTTCAGTAATTCCAATTATAAAACCTTCTTCATTAAAAAGAATATAATCAACAGTTTTTTTGTATTCTGAAAGACAACCGATTAAAACATAATCATCCAATTCACTAAAATTATTATCCAGTTTTAATTATTAAGAAATTAAGATTCCTTCTTTTTTTAATCCAAAAACTTAGTTATAATTTAAAAAAAATTAAGATTTAGCAGTTTGTAAATAATTTAATAATAATTTATCATGCTAATCAGCAAAAAATAAAGGCATTAAATCTGAAATATTATCAATTTCAAAAATCTCTTTATCATAGTATCCAAAGAATGATGAGATTTATTTTTTATCTTTATTAATAATTTTACCTCTATTTTTAACAAGACTAATCATTATAAGAAGAGCCTTTTCTTGAATAAATGATAAATTAGTAATTACATCATCTTAAAGAGTATGTTCAATATTATAAACATCTATGATAGCAGTTTCACAAATTTAAGAATTGTAATAATCATTCATAATTGAACTGTAGAATATTGATAATGGTTTAAGAATTTAAACATTATTATTGATTTATAGATGATCCAAATTATAAATATCAAAAGAACAATATTTATTTATTTGAGATGTTAATTTATTAATTTTTTAACTTTAAGCAATTGCAAGTTTTTCAACTTCATAAATAGAATTGAAACCTTTTATTTATTTATTCCAAAAAATTATCTTATCACTTAAGACTTCAATAATAGAAGGAATAAATTAATCTTAAAATTACAATGCTTCAAATACTTCATGAATACTAAGTTATCTTTCAGATTGTATTTATTTACCTAATTATGACATTTAATTGTTTTCTTATTGTTAAGCTTTGATTAAATCTTATAAATAAATACTCATTTGATAACGAATACTAATAAAATATTAAGATTTAGTTTATTTTAAACTTTAATAGCGTTTTAATTCTGTGTAAGCCAATAGTGGTTTTTTACAAAATTAAGCAACATAACTAATATATAATAATTATAAATCTTCATAACCTATTCTTGAATTCATTCTAGATTTTTCTAATTCAGTTGTTAAAATACAAAAAATTGTTTAATGAGTTTTTTAAATTTAATTATTTTATTCTGTTTTTTACATATCATTTAACGAATGTTTAGTGCATATAATTTTATGTGCTTTCCAAAATAAATACAATTGAAAAAACTCTGCTTATTTTTAATTTTCGATTGTTTAAAGATATTTAAAATGCATTTATTAAGTGTAATAGATACAAGAAAACGAATTAAAATCAAAATTAAAAGCAGATAATAATTTAGTTTAAAAATACATTTAACTTAGATAAAATGATAAGCTACCAAAAACTAATATTGTATAAATCAATTAGTCTTCATGTAAGACATGTTTATCAACCATAAAAATATTAATACTAATTATTATGAGAATTGTTAGCAAACTACAATTAGATGTAAATAAAAGCTAATTAATTTGAGGAATAAATGGTCTAAATTATAACAATTCCACTAATCTCAATATTAATTGTAGAAAGAGAATGGCTATTTTTATATATTGTATTGATTTATTATCATCAATGATGTATAAAATGGTATTTAAAATGTTAAATAAATAATTAATGATCTAAAGTAGATTATATTTTTATTAAAAGTAATGAAAAGGCACAAAAGTGTAGGCTCTTAAGAAATAAAAATAAAGAAATACAATAATTGAAAAGATTAAAATGCCAAGCAATCCTAAAATACTTTTGAGATTTATGATAGTAGCTTATTAGTTAATTTTTGTATATCCTACCAAAATCAATGCAAAGAATAAAAAAAGTATAGGTAATTATAAAGTTGTGATGCATTTTTATAGATAGTGAAAAATAAATTTTCTTAATGAATAATGATTTTTAGGATTTAGGTTTCCAAACAATCCAAAAATTAAAAATATTCCAATAATTGTAAAAAATGAGATTAGTAACATAATTACCATAGTCAAACTTAAAGGGCCAAAATCTATTTAAGATTCAAAGGTATATGGAATTATCAAAGTTATTTATGCGAATTATTTTAAAAGATAAAAATGTCCATCAATGTAATTCCATAAATGCCATCCATTCAAAGGAAGCATTAAAGCAAGATATTACAAATTAACAATTAACACATTCATTATTATTGAAAATTCAGATGGTTGACTGTTATGAGCTAAATGAGCTAAACATGATAGCTATTCAAATATTATAAATTTCATTAAATTAAATGATAAGGAAAGAATGACACTATTATAATTATCAACTTAACAAATTTATTGAGCAGCTTCCTATATAATAATAACAAAGTGCATCTAATGAATATAGTATTAGAACCTAAACCTCAAGTATAAAAAATTAAAGCAATAAAATACTACATAATTTTTCAGAAATTTAATTAATCTATATCTTCCTTTGATAATTTAATAGAACTGGAAGTTACTAAATAAAACATGATATTTTTTATTTGATGAACAAAATGTATAATAATAATGAATGAAAGTTTTAATTTGAAAATGCAAATTTAGTTTTAGGATAATATGATAGAGAAAAGGATGTATTTTTGTATAAAATAAATAATAATTAGACAGATAAAATAAACTTTTAGTAGTCCTTTTTGGAAAGAAAACCTAAGCTATGCTAAAAAGCTATATCTGATTAAGTTAATACTTTATATTATTGAAGGATATTGAAGATCTACTAGAAAAATAGTTAAATTCAAATCTGAAGATAGAAGAGAAGAATTGGTAATTGTAAATTTTTAAAAGATGATTAATTTAATATTTATTAAAATGTAAGTAGCCATAATTGTTCCCAGTAAGATTTTAATTGGGATTTAAAATTAAAAATTAGAAGTGTTTGATGATGGAAAGCATCTCTAAAAGACTGGAGGACTTACAAAAATTCAAGCAATAAGAGTTTTCTTTAAAGAAAATTAGTATTATGATTCATTCTATATTTTAGTGTACGTGGGTTTGAAATATTTTATAAATTAAATGCAGGGGATCTTTTAAAAGCTGGTCATAATGTTCCGAAATCAAAAAAAGAACTTTAAAATGTATTATTAGAAATAGGACCTGATGATTATGTAAGTGAAATTTTTGGTGCTTACTAATCTGCAAGAAAGAATAGAATTATTAATATTACATTTATAACATATAGAGGAAAAGTTTAAACCTTTGGAGGAAGTGGGGATAAATCATTTGGATTTAGTTTTCCAGGATCTACATTTGGAGCATTTAAAGGAGGGTAAATTACATATTAAATATTTATATAGTTACAAGAAATCAGTTGAATGGTTAGAAATAGATGTTCTTCCTTTACCTGAAGATTTCAAATTAGAAATGGAAAAATTAGGAATTTTATAAATTTAGAAAATAAGCATTCAACCAGAGAGAACTTTAAGTAATTTAAGTAATGATAATAATACTACAAAAACTGGATAAGGTTCAATAATTGTGGTACCAAAATTACAAGTAGCAAAACCAGTAATTTTGATTCCTGTAATTAATGGATCTTCTGTAAACTAATAAAATAATATTTTATAATAATAACAACTTTATTAGAATGTTTAATAATAATATCCTTAATAATAATATTAGTAATATCCTTACTAATAATAATAAACATCTAATTTATAAAATATTTATATTCCATTTAATTAATAATAATAATAAATAAAGAAGGATTGTTATCCAAAATTTAATTGATTGAATATAATATAATATAATAAAATAATTGATTTTTTTGAATTTTATTTAATATATAAAACTCACTTTCTTGCTCTAAGGTTAGCTCTAAGTTAAAGGAATGAAGCTTCAGCAGCTTAGGCAGGTCCTTATTTAGCATAACTGGCAAAGACATCAGTGGGATCTCCTCCATATTGATTGAATTCTTCAACTCTTTATTCAACGAATGTTCTCAATTTGGTTAAGAGTTCAACTTCCTTTCTTCTAGCACCAGTACTGTCAGTGTATTCAGTATTGAAAGCATTACACATGTCACTAGCATAGTTAAGTAAGTTTTAGTTTCTAATTCTTTTGCTGGTAGCTGAATTGATGATATCTTCTTCTTTGGTAATTGTGGCTTATAATTAGGCAATATAAGCAGTTAATTATCCTTAGACATTAACTAAAAGAGTGATGACATCTTAAACTCTGTTCTTTCTAGCTTAGAAAACTTCAATTTAGGTATTTTCGTTATCTGTCAATTCTGAAAGAGCAGCTGATAACTTTTCTCTTAATTCATTTAATAATTATCTGATTCTTTAGATGTTATCAACACTAACGTTTCCATCTCCACTTAATTCAACAAGGACTGACAATAATGGAGCATATTCACCAGCATTACCAGCTTTTGTGGCTTAGAGGAACATATTGTTGAAGTGTTTTGTGACTTAGACAAAAGAAGCTGAGGCATTGGCGAATTCCTATATTATTTATATTTTTAAAATACATTGACAATTTATTCAGCACCATCAATCAAAGACAATGATGTGTTGATGTTTTAGACTTTCTTGTTAAAGTTGGTAGCTCTGTCATTTCTTCTGGTGGTAATGAATTCAACTTAGTCTTCAAGAATTTATTGATAAGTTTTAACTCTGATTAAATCAGCTGTGGCAGAAGCATGTGCAGCTTAAGCTCTTCCCTTGTGTTCAGTAGCTCTAGTTAAGGCATCTACAGCGTCTTAGACTTCCTTCTTTCTGAATCCTAATTCATCTCCACATTCTCTTTATTAGACTGTATAGATATCGTCGTGTTCTGTTTGTTCGTTTCTGATGGAAAGGATTAAACTGTTGATGTGATCAACCAACAATTAGCCTGGTGATCTTGTTTGGGTTTCAGCGGAAACACACAATAAACCAACTAACACTAAAGCGATGACTTTCATTATTATTAATATTAAAACGGATACTCACATAATTTGCCTTTACGCCATAGTTATACTATTTATTTATGGAACATTTAGTGTTCTTCACTTATTCCTTGACTTTACTCTAAGTTTTCTATTCTTATTGGTCATCGTCTACTTAATGCTTAAACTCATTTGTCAAGCCTTGATCTACCCTGGATCATTTAAATTATACTAGAGGATCAATTAAAATCACCAGGGGTTGTTACATGCAAAGGTTTATAGTTGATCTTAATTTAGATAGTTTAATAACAGGTAAAGGAATTTGAAGATATGATATACCAACGTAAGTAGGCAAACATAAACATCATTTAATGGTTTGATTAATAGGCATAGATATTTTAAACAATGTAGAACCAAAGTTAATTATAAATGGACTATCACAATTACCTAAAATAAATCATATCAATACTTAAAACAAAATGCAATAATGAATTTCTTTTTGAGTGTATTATGAAAGGCAATCAAATTGAATAAAAATATGTTGATTATTTGATAACTAATTTGGATGGGATGTACAATATAGCTGATAAGCATGTAATAGAATTAAAGGGTTTATAAAAATTAAAAAGATGGTATTCTTTAGAATTATTTGGTGGATTAAATGAATTCAGAGCAATGATATAATTGAAGAATCCAAATGCAAAGAGAGTTATGATTATAAATGGGAAATCTAAAATTGATTGCATGTACCTGATCAATTAATAAGAAGGTCAACCAAATAATACCGTACTCTTTTGTAATCCTAATGGAGGTTATTATGAATATATGTTCTATGATGTAATATTACTTTAATAAATCTAGTGTAATTGGTTTAGATTCTATGAAAATAATTAAATAAATGTGATAGTGTGGAATTATAGATAATATGGTTAAAGTACTGGTAAAATAAACCCAAAAGCTCTTTTGTCAGATGCAAATGCAGTGGTCAATTATTTTAGAGAACATTACAATATAACAAGATTTGGGATATAAGGATATTCTTTAGGTGGTTCAATAGCTAGTGAAGTAGCTTTGGAAAACAATCTAGATTTCTTAATAGTTGATAGAACATTTTCATCAATAGGATAAGTAGCTTCTAAATGTTTTAGTAGTCGTATAAGAATGATATTAAATATTATAACAGATTGGGATAAACCATAATATATGAATTATTGGAATTATAAAGGACATAAATTAATTGTATAAGATTCGAAGGATGAAATAATTCCTTATGTTGCTTAATTATAGGTAGCTATAGGGAGAGAATGGTTTAGTCCATATAAAGAGAAGTATTTTAATAAGATAACCTCATTGTTAGATTAAGAGTCAGCTAGTTTTTAGAAATTTTTTAATTAAAATATTCTAAATAATTAATAGATGAAAGTTTTATTAAAAAGTTTAAGTAGATTAATAAATTTGATATTGAAATTTTATAAATTTGAATAGCAAATAGAAATTCCTTAGGATAGAACATTTATAAATATTAACATAAATAATTAGATTCGTAATTAAGAGAATTATGTGGAGTTGATAAGTATAGAAGAATTGGAAAGATTATAACCATTATTGTATTCTATGATTTAAATAATGTTTTCTTTAAAGTACAATAATACAGTTTTAATTGATCTTCTAATAAATAATTAAGATAATTTTGAGGAGAAAGTGTAATGTTTTTTTGCATGTTGTTTTACATTTGGGATGCATGATAATTAACATAATTTTATTTAGTAGTATTCTATATTTAGATAAGCAATGAATGAATTTTTGAATTTGGAAGGAAATCAAAATGATTGGGGGAATGTAAATATGATTATAAAATTAGTTAAAACAAGATGGTTAGATAATATTGGAACATTTTAATAAGATAGTTGATAGATTTTCTGAATATATGGATGATACATTGCAAACATAAAATCTGAATGAATCAAGTGAGAGAGGAGCAAATATTGAAATGAAATTGACATCACATTACATAACAAAAATAGGATAATTAATAAATATAGATTGTGGTCATAATAATAATTTAAGTGAATTAAATTTTAGTTATGTAAAAGCATTCTTAAGATAGATAGGAATATAATGAATATCTATTTTAGTATTATGATTTTAACATTATTTGTAATTATTAAGTGTATTCGTTTTTATATTATTCATAATGAAATTCATAATATTTATTACCCTTCTGATATGTACATTAGGTTAACAACCAGAATTTCTATAATAAATAGCATCAAATAGTTTTGGTCGTCAAATATTATAGACAATTTAACTTGAATTAACATAAGAGTAAATGTGTTTATTTAAATTTAATTAGAAATGCTGCAAGATAAATATATACAATGTTGAACAAGTTATTCTATGATTTAAGAGATGAAGATGCTAGATCAAGTAAAGCTAATGGTGAAAGGTAGGCTTAATGTGCTGATCAGTTTTAATAAATAAATTCAATATAAGAAAAAGCTGTTGTTGCAAAAGCTGATTATGAAAGATAAATTCCAGGAAAATAAGAAGAATTATTCAATAAATTAACATAAGTTGAATAGAAGAATGCTGAAATTTAAAGAAATGATTAATTATAATTAAATTTCTCTGAATAAAGAAGAAAAGACCATTAATTATATGAATAAAAAAGAGATGAATTAATTGGTTTAATAAATGGATTAAAATAAGCATAATAAATAATTAGATAACTTTAAACACCTCATCCAGGTGGTGCATTGGTTTAATTAAAAGATCATCATGAATAATTATGTAATATATATAATAATAAATCAATAATAGTGAAGAACTATGCTTAGAATTCGGAATTTAAGAGTATAACTTCATTACTTATGGAATTATGTTCCGATTCTAAAATACATACAGATAATGATAATGTATAAGTAATTGTAGATATAATCAATGATTTGATTGAAAGTATCTATGATGTTTAAAAGAGAGAAATGTATGCTGAAGATTGGGCAGAGAAGTTCTTCTAATAAGATTTGTATATATATTATATAGATATATATTAGAATTCGTCTCTAAAAAGAAAATGTTAGATTATCAGGTTAAATAGCAGATGATTAAGCAGCTGCTGAATTTGCTTAATAAAGATTAGAGGATCTTTAATAATAAGCCCTTCTTTAATAAATCATTTTTGATAACAAAGATATAGAAAGAAAATCATTTGAAGTAGCTTGCAAAGAAGACAATAACGCAGCTGAATAATCTAGAGTTTCTAGAAATGAATAAATCTAGATTGTACTTTAATTGTTGGAACTATTTGAAAACAATTTTAATGATAGAACTAGAGCAGCTCTTTTAGAAATTATTGTCTGATCAAATAATAATTATACAATCAGAAATTCTATTAATCAAATATTATTATTCCCATATAATATTCAAAAATCTAATCTATCTTCTTCTTATCTATTATTATTTCATATTCTTAACTATATTCATTATGTATAGATATTTTTTAAATATTTATCACACAACATCTTGATATCCTTATCTTTATTAGTTATTAATTCTAAGCATATACAAAGTAAAAAAAAGCTATATCAAAATCTTCATATTCGTTTCTCTTTTTCAATCTATTATCCAATCATATTTTTAAAAATTTGGATCTATACTTCCAAAAGTATAAAAGACTCACTATTAAATTTAATATCCTTTCAATTCTGGTATTTGTTAAACTACTTGATCAATAAAATTCTATGTTTTTAGATGTCATATCTCTACTCAATATTTTTTACCCATTTAAATATTTTCAGTTTATGTAAAATTTATTGCAATTTTTACTTGGTCCCCTCAAATTATTCAAATTTCAATAGGAACTAACTTTTGGTTAGTTTTTTATTTTTATTATTTATTATTGTAATTTGTAATATCCATTTTTAATTTATTTAACACATCCATTTACCCAATGCTACTGCTTTGAATAATTGCTTAAATCTATTAATATTGGATAATGAATTACTAATAATTTAAATAATTCAGTAATCTTTTAAGCAAATTACACTAAAAATATTTAATTTATATGATTATAATTATACTAAACAACAAAATTTAATTTAAAAATTAATATTTCATTTTATCATTAAAAATCAAAAAGATACTACATGGTTCGGCAATGATAAATCTTTCAAAATGAATACTTTATTTCCCAAAAGAATTAAAAAAGGTATTAAATATCTAAGATGATATAGCATTCATATCCTAAGTTTCTTTATATTGTAATTATGATTTAATTTTTTTAAAATATATTGATTACTTTAGAATTCATAAATACATTATTATTGTATCTTAAATCTATACAATAATTTTGTAAATTTTCCATTCCCAAAAGCAATACAAAATTTAAAATCCTTATCAGTAAATTCATCTGAAAGTGCAAAAAATGTTTTACCTTCATTTTAATCTCTTAAACTCATCAGTTTAGTAAATAATCTACTTTAAATAATATTTGAGCAAATTCAGCATCTTAAATTCATTCGTTAATGAAATCTTAAGTTTTGCGTGCATTATCTTTTTAAGTTGAATAATCTTTTAGGTATTTATATCCTACTTCTAATTCTAAAAATAAAGGTAAAAAAAAAGTTAAAATCTTTCCATAATTATTAATCTTATCCCTTTATATATTTCTTAAAATGAATAATTATTATTAATGAAATAATATTTTATTATAATTTATAAATTGACATCATTTAAAGATATTTTCAATTTAATATTTTAGAATTTTGAGCTAGATTTGATAAATTCTTTTCAAGTTAACTTACTTTTTAACTAAAAATAGAGATAATAATTTATTTACTTTAATAATTTTTCATCTGCTTAACTAACACTTACTAAACTNCAGTTTATGTAAAATTTATTGCAATTTTTACTTGGTCCCCTCAAATTATTCAAATTTCAATAGGAACTAACTTTTGGTTAGTTTTTTATTTTTATTATTTATTATTGTAATTTGTAATATCCATTTTTAATTTATTTAACACATCCATTTACCCAATGCTACTGCTTTGAATAATTGCTTAAATCTATTAATATTGGATAATGAATTACTAATAATTTAAATAATTCAGTAATCTTTTAAGCAAATTACACTAAAAATATTTAATTTATATGATTATAATTATACTAAACAACAAAATTTAATTTAAAAATTAATATTTCATTTTATCATTAAAAATCAAAAAGATACTACATGGTTCGGCAATGATAAATCTTTCAAAATGAATACTTTATTTCCCAAAAGAATTAAAAAAGGTATTAAATATCTAAGATGATATAGCATTCATATCCTAAGTTTCTTTATATTGTAATTATGATTTAATTTTTTTAAAATATATTGATTACTTTAGAATTCATAAATACATTATTATTGTATCTTAAATCTATACAATAATTTTGTAAATTTTCCATTCCCAAAAGCAATACAAAATTTAAAATCCTTATCAGTAAATTCATCTGAAAGTGCAAAAAATGTTTTACCTTCATTTTAATCTCTTAAACTCATCAGTTTAGTAAATAATCTACTTTAAATAATATTTGAGCAAATTCAGCATCTTAAATTCATTCGTTAATGAAATCTTAAGTTTTGCGTGCATTATCTTTTTAAGTTGAATAATCTTTTAGGTATTTATATCCTACTTCTAATTCTAAAAATAAAGGTAAAAAAAAAGTTAAAATCTTTCCATAATTATTAATCTTATCCCTTTATATATTTCTTAAAATGAATAATTATTATTAATGAAATAATATTTTATTATAATTTATAAATTGACATCATTTAAAGATATTTTCAATTTAATATTTTAGAATTTTGAGCTAGATTTGATAAATTCTTTTCAAGTTAACTTACTTTTTAACTAAAAATAGAGATAATAATTTATTTACTTTAATAATTTTTCATCTGCTTAACTAACACTTACTAAACTCTAATCAAGATTTTCTGAATCTTTCTTTAATTTTCGCTAAAGTTCTTGTTATGCTCTACGTATTAATTCATTTGAGATTTTTTCTAAAGATTTTTATTCATTCAATTGTTAGGTTGATTTTATTAATTGTTTAAATTTGAAATCCTTCAATCTTTCCTATCTTTAGTAATTTTCAAGTAGATCTTATTATTTTAATTTCATTTTTTCTTTTTTCAAATATTTTTAATTTTCTAATTCATGTCTTCTTTTATCTGAATAATCTTCAAGTAATTGAAATTTTTTTTATAAATTTTCAACTTTATCAAATTATTAAGATTTAATATTCTTTAAACTTTTTTCTATTTTCTTTCTTCTTAATTTTTCTTCATTAATTCTTAATAATTCTTCCTTTTCTTTTGATTATCTCAAGACTGATTAATAAAGATTATAAATATACCTTTTAAATCTTCTTCTTTATGAGCTAATTTTTCCACAATCTATTACATTAAAGATTTTTCTCTTTATTATGTTTTAAGTTTATAAATTCTTAATTTTTCTTCATGCAAAGTACTTCTCATAGTTAATCTTTCTAATTTGGATTCCCAAATTTATCTATCTTTATTTTATGAAGTTTCAGTCCATTTTTATTCAATTTAATTCATTGTTAAAGCCAAATGTAAATTATATTCTTTATCTTAGATTTATTTTCTTTATTAGATTTAATGTCTTTTTTCTTAATATCTTCTTTCTTATTCTTCTAATTCTTTCTTTTACTATAATTCATCTTCTTATAATTTCTTACAACTTATTTAATAAATAAATTAGTTACATTTAGTCAAATTTTTCAGCTTACTTTTTTTTATCTTCTAGTAATTTTCTTTATTTTTCTTTTTCTTTTTCTTTAATCTCATTAAATTTTTTTATTGCTGCACGTTTTAATTCTTTTTTTTTAATTTCTTTTTAATGAGCTATTCTTGATTTTAATTCTTCAATCTTTTTTTCTCTTTCAATCATATCCTGCTATAATTTTTATCTTTTTTTTTCATTATCTAATTAATGTTGTACTTCCTTAGCTTTTACTTGCAACTATTTTTTATATTTTGTAATTTCCTTTTCTAATTGTTATTCTAATACAAGAATAGGATCTTCTTCATCAAATGATAGATAAGATGCATCCTTTTCTTCATTATTGATATTACTCATCTTCTTATTGTATGTTTCAATTAAATCATTCACTAATCTTTAATATCAATATTAAATTACTCTTCATCTCTTTAATAACTCTTCTCTAGATGTAAATTAGTTATAGCTTTTTATTTCTTGATTATCACTTTACGCATCTTGCTTATTTCTTATAAAGCACCTATTTTAATCCATTTTCCGTTTTACTTTCAGTCTTTTTTATGTAATGATCATATCTCATTTTTTAAACTTTCTCACTTAAACCTGGTTCTGCAAATTCATCAAGAGTTCTCCATTATAAGATTTAAACAATTACTTTAATTAAAATATTTGAGGATCATAACCTAAAGCTAAACATGCTTCTCTTGTTTTTGGTGAATCTGGTTTTATTGTGAAAGTCTTTCGTGTATGAGAAAATACAATCCCTCTTCTATTGTTACGATTACTCTAATCTAGTAAGTTTTCCATATACATTTTTTTGATATTTTATATTTTAAATCAACTATTTCAATTCACTTATTCTATAATGGATAATTCCAATTAACACACTATTTCTCTCTATTTATTTATTTATTCATTCTCTAAATCAATTATACTTCTCTTTACTCTACTCATTTTTATATTTTCTCTATTTCTTTCCCCACCAAAAACTTTACTTTCTTTAATGCTAAAACTTAATTAAGATTTATTTCAATTCCTATCTATACATATATATATATATATATATAATTAAATAGATCATAATATCATTTTATGATTAATTAGCTCACTTAAAATTCCATTTATGTTTAGATTGAATATCTGATTGATATTTTTCAATTAATTTATCATGTTCATAATATAACGCATCAAGCTTTTATTTGTTGTACCTTTTACAAAATTTTTTGAATTTCTTCTTTGCATCTTTAAATGATAAATCTTCAAAATGAATGTTTTGCTTCTTCATTAACCAAATGCAAAAAATCTCATTCAATCGAAAATAATCATCTTCGTCAATTTTCTAAAATTCACTCATTAAGGCAACTTATTAATTATTATATTATATATTTAAGTATTAAAAATATTAAAATTGTTTAACATTTTAAAAATATATTATAAATTAATTCTGGAATATGAGTATATCCATTCATTATAATAATTTAATATGATTCAAGAAAAATCTCATCCATTAGTAACAAAACCTATTAAACTACTAAAATTAATTAATTTCTTAACAATCTAGTAAAATTCTACTTTATGTTTTTGTTTTATGATAATTCTATTAATAAAATCTATATTTAATATTTACATAAATTTTAGATTCTAAAAGTAATTGCTTCAATTAAAAATAAAATCAAAATTTTACAATCAAATATTTTCTCATTTATCACAGTTAAATTTTTAGCATCTTTATAAACTTCGCTCTTATATTTAATAGTTATCTTTTCATTATTGAACTCCTTTTTAATTTATAATTTATAATTCTTCATTATATTGGCATCCGACTAATGTATTTAGAATTTCTAATAAAAGTTCTAGCGATTGAATCATTATATATAATATAATCCTTATGGTATTATAGTATGAAGCAAAAAAGTAGATATTTAAACAGAGTAAAATATTTTAAATAAAATTGTAAATAGTTTTAAAAAATACTTTATAATCTGTTGTCATTATTAATCGGTTAATTAAACATCTTATTTGGAATTATCTATTTAGATTATAAAATCCTCTTCAAGATCATCTATGTCAAATTTACCAGCTTAGGGTTATGAGGCTGCTTTTTAAAATTGATCGTCTATCTAAGTATTTTATAAAATCGCTGTAGGCATCTGACTAACACCTACAGTATTTAGAGGATTAGTAGATAAAGAACTGTATCTGATTAAGGTAGTGTTATCATCTTCATATTTATCTAATAATTCTTTTATTACAAATAATCCTTTTCTAGGTAATTATTTAATAGGTTTTTGAGATATCTAATTATTATCATCTTATTAATTGTTTGGATTCAATAGTTTTTGTTGCAATAATTCAATTTATTATTATTTTTGTTATTTTTATTTAAGTTTCTAAGATTGATAAATGATTGTAAAAATACCATTTTTAAAAGCATTTTTTATTCATCGAATTTTTATAATTTTTTGGATTCTCTTCTGCTATTTTAAATGAAATAATCTAAAATATCTGTATTAGCTAATTCTGGATCACTCTAATTAATATAGAATGAAATACGCGTAAATTGAATTAAGGTAGATTTCTAGATTTTTTTTTCTAGTTTCAATTTCTTATGGATCATCATTAGTAATTCCAAAGATTTTTCTTTTTGGGAATTCAGGAATATTATTTTTGATTTGTTCTTTGAGTGCTTAATGAATGTCTCTTAAATCTGAATATCTAGTTTTAAATTTCCATTTAGTTTTATTAAAATTGTCAATAACTTAAACAAAGTACAAAACAAACATGTCTAATTGTTAAAATGAATCAATAATAAAATTGTATTATTATTTAGGTCTAAGTATTTGATATATAATTTATTACTTATCTTATAAAAATTAAGTTAGTTCACTTTTATCATCATTAATATCAGGTAACATAGATTTCAAACATGGTATAGAATAGAGTTTATCAATTTTAAGTAATTGATTAAAGTAATCTTAAAGATCAGATCTCTAAAATATGAAATATATGAATGAATACGCGTCTTAAAATGCCTTATTCAGAATCATTATGACTGCCGAATAGTTTTTTACCAGGAAATGGTGGTAGAGTGATTGCTAAACGTAATTGTTATGATGACTTATCCAATTTAATATGTAATTTTTCAGCATCTGAATATCTAAGATGTTAGACTTTTGCAGAACAATAAGAGTGTGAGACAAAGATTACCACATAAACAATTTTTTTGTTTACTATTTTGTGGTGAGGAATTCTACAGCTGAATTCATAATTAGAGTACATATAAATTATTATAATGATAATAATATGTTGTATAAAATAATTCAGGTACTATTACATACTACTCTTGGAATGAACAAATCTTGCCATCCCTTTTCTTTGTTCCTTAAGAATTAAGTAGCAAGGAAGACTATTAACATTACAATCTAAAAATAAAATGCTAAATGCAATGCAAAAAGTGGTTTAACAAATCTTTATACTTTTGGTTTGACTATTTTTTATCCAATAATTGAAAATAGGAATATAGCAATCACTCCACAAATATCATGAATCATTCCAGTAGCTAATGATATAATTGTACTTGATAAAGTCACTGAAAACATAATTATAGGAAGTGTCATTGATACTTCTGCAGTACTTACTTAAACTCTCTTTAATTTTGTTAATAAAATTATCACTACAATTTAAGCTGCTGCTCCTACTGAACCCAATAAAAATCCAAATATATATGATGAAATAAATAATTATAACAACAATATAATGTCAAATGTTTTAGTAACAAAAGCTAGAATAAAAAATAATATGACATTATATGTTATTTATTATTCATTTCTATGCCAAACTTACATCATGAAATTTCTAAATACATCTACATCACAAACATGCATTTCTGTTGTTTTAAATAATAAACCTATATTTATAAGAATTGTAAGTGCATAAAAAAACACTTTTAATTTTGGAATTGATCTAGTTGATAATTTCTTATGAATTTATTAACTAATTTCTTTATTTTAATTCAAAAAATCTTTAGCCTTTATTTTATGTTCATCAATAGTTAAATCCATCTCCAAAATCTCTTAAGGTAGTACCTTAATAAAAGATTCTCTTCTAATTGAACTTTATATTTATTAAAAGAATTGTTCAACATTAATCAATATACCATCTCCAACATTGATAAAATCATCCTCAAAGTTCTTTATTTATTCTTCTGTAGCTACTTACTCGATCTTTCTTACTTACTTTGTCTTTGAATAAGTTGTTGCCATCAACATTAACAAAGATATTATAGTTATTATTGCTGTAAAGAATGTTGGTATGTAATCTCTAATAATTAATTAAATCAACTTTTACTTTGAATGTAATCCTATTGTACAACCTGATATCATCATAGGTACTAGTAACAATACCAAATTTTCATTTACTGCTGGTTAATTTGGTTATTTCCTTTTTCTCAAATTCTCCATAGATGTCAGAAAATATTATGCTAATTACATAGGTTGATTCATCAAAGATGCATCCTATTATTCATTTTATTTTATACTTTCTTTCCATAATTTAATGCCAACAATAAAATAAAAATCTAGAACCCTTATGCACCCAAACCAATAGTATTGAATATTCCTATTGATATTGGAATTACAAGTGTTCCCAAAACTGACAAAGAATTTATTTAATTAAATTGCAAATGCTGACATAAGTCTGAATTCAATTCATAATAAAATCTTCCACACTTTGCCATTTTTTATTTATTATTACATGAAAATTATTTGTGATTTTGTTTTAGAAATCCAAATTTTCACACACGTGTATATATAAATCCAATAAAAATTTATCCATTTCAGAACAAATCTTTTACCAGAATTCTATAAGAATACCTATAAAACTTCAATTTTATATTTTGCTTATTATTTATACTTCATTAATATTTAATTAGTAAATCAATGGAAAAATACACTTAAAATAAACTTAAATTATCTAATATTCAATTAATCCAACCAAAACCTGTTAGTTATATCTTTGTTTTAATTAAAGAAGTTGACTCAACGAACATAATAATTCAAACTAATCCTAATTTATTATTTTTTAATCCTCCTTCTGTTTAATTTATAAATAGTAAACCTTAATTTAAAGAAATTTGAACAAAACAACAATCCAGTTCTGTCTGTCTTAGAAAATTCAAGTTAACTTCTTATATTTAATAACTATTAATATCCTAAATGTTTATAATATTAACTTAACATTATTTTTATATTGGATTTAAGATTCTTAAAATCCAATTAATCTCATATATGATCTTTGATTATTTCTTGTATTCAAGTACATATTTTCTTAGAACTTCTATAAATCCAACTATTATTACATAGCATATCTAAAAAAAAAGGAAGGAGGTGTCACTATTTTATTTATTTGAACATTATATATAGAAGGAGTAGCTATTATATATTTACATTCTTACTTTTAAATTTTGAAATTATATATTTAATTAAGTAGAAACATTGAAAGCTTAGTTTATTAGAACTTTCAAAGTTTAAAGTACAAACATCCTCTAAGGCATCAATTAATCTTATATACATGGAGTTTTTCATCTTAATAGATGATTATTTTTAATGCTAAATTATGGGACTTTGTGATACTATTAGAAATTACAAATAGGGACAATACCTAAAAAAGAATAACAATTCAAATTATTTGTGCTCTTATTTGTTTTATAATTAATTACTATTTTGGTTTCTCTTATTTTTGTTATATTTAGAAGATAAATGAGAAGTACTATATTGAGAAAATATTCTTAGATAATTTTGTCCCTAAAATAAAAGTCAAAAAAAAAGAGATTTATCAAATAGGAGATAAGTATCTAAGATTTAGTATTTTATAAATTTCTCCAAATAATAATATTCAGCTAAATACATACGTCCATATTCATTTAAATAATGCTTATTATTTTTTTTATATGTTTATCCATACATGAATAAACCAATCTAATCAGTTTGGAGAATAATAAAAGGTTAAAAAGGAAGAAAGAATTTTATTTTAAAGAAATATAAAATATAGTTTTGAATTAATATATTATAATATTAATTATAAAAACGATATGTTGATTTTTTTCTTTGCTTTAACCATCAATTGTTTATAAACTTCATTAACAACTAAGTTAACTTAATTGGGAGTTTCAAATATGGGAAGATCTATAATATTAATGTCATAATTAGATTAAACAAATACAAATGAACTAATGCAAGCACTCAATCAGATAAAAAATAATATTTTAGTAATTAATCACATCAAATTTATAGGATAAAATAGAATCAGAAACCAAATCATATAACATATATACAAATAGATAATAGAGTGACATTGATTACTATGGCCATAGAATAAATGATTTACAGGTAGAATTAGCAACATTATAAGTTGAAATTAGAAGATTAGATCGATCGATAACATTTTAGGAAGCAGACATTATATCAAAAAAGTAAGAAGTTTAGAATATGATCAACTCTAAATAATCTCTGATTGATTGGTAAAATAAAGAAGATCAATTATATTCGAACTAATAAAATTCCTATAATAAAGCATTAAGTTCTATTGATACTGCTATTGATCTATTGGAAAAGGGGAAATGTATGAAATATTCAAAAATTATTAGAATCAAATTTTATTGAAGAACATTCTGAGACTTTTAGCATAGTTGGTGAAGAGTTACAAAATAATTTGGAACCAGAATACTAATAAATTGCATTGACATTTTCTTAAATTTCTTTAGACAAATTTGCTGATCATGATTTAATTAGAAGGTCAACAAGATTATTATAAAAACTTAGAGCAAGTATTTCAGATTAAAAGATTAAATTGTTAAATACATAAAATTCAGAAAAATCTCAAAATGATATAGCAATAAGATTGCATGAAAATAAGATTCAATAAGTGAATAATGATTTAATCAAAATTTTAATGGAAGATCATGAAGTTATGTTGCAATAATATAAGTTAAAGAAGAGTCTTATAGATTAGATACAATAATCTATTTAAAATAGTCAATAATTGATCATACAATTGAATAATGAAATTTAATTGAGATAAAAAAATTATAAGCAATTAATTACCTAATATTAGTAAGAAATATAAATAATAAATGATTGCATATAATAAATTTAAAATCATTGAATAATATGTTTGATTTAATTAAGTTTATTTAATTTAATATTTAGTGACAGTATTCTCTTAATATTAATCATCAACAGAATCTTTATTATTAAATTACTTAATAAAATAATAAATGCTAGTATGATTGTCTTAGATATCATTAGGATAATATAAAAAAAAAGATTAAAAATAGATAAAGTATTGAAAATTGAATGAACTTTTGCAATTCCATATGATTAAGTTGTCATCCAAACACAACCCAAAATTGGACTTGCTAAAATACTAAATGGATAGGGAAAACTTAAAAATAGAATTTATTCTAATAAAAAATCTGTTGTTTAAAGTCCTTATTAAATTAACAGAGGCAAAAATAACTAAAATAAATTAAATTTTTTACTGCATCTAAAATGGATAATAATAATTGAGTATATATTTTGGTATTTTGACCAACAGTTGGAACTTGATGAGATAAGAATAAATATCGAATTTTGCCAAAAATTTACAATTTAGATTTCATACTTTTTTCTTTTTTTTATTACTCTTATTCCATAACTTGGAATGATTAAACTGAATCTTGAATTCTTTAAATATATTGATGTTTAAGATCTTCAAGATTAGTAAGATTGTCAAAACTTTCTTTGTCTTCATCTAGAATTTAAAATTAATTAGATTATTCTAAAGAGATTCTTTGATTATCTAATACATCTTCAATTTCTTCAGGATTTGCTTCTGAATCATAGATAAATAATCCAAGTCTCATATGTTTATTTTTAGCTCCTTCTATGAAAGCTATAAATTCTTAGGATTCATAATTTTCTAAGATAGTAAATTCATCATCAATAATAATAATGACATTAATTGTAATTTGGAAATCTGAAAAGAATTTAGCATTTTAGCGATTGCAATAAATAATTAATTATTATACATTATGTGCAAAATGATTACTATCTACATCAATAGCTCTAGCATATCTATTAAATTTAATAATGAAATTATTTAGTTTTTAGCTATTTTCCATTCTTTTTTTGTGTGCAACAAGATTATCTAGAATTTTATTTCGATCTTCATGAATTTCTTTATTTCTATTGATAGAAAAATAGAGACAGGAGAGAAAGGGATTACTTTCACATAAATAAAAGGGTTTAAGAAAGTTACCTTCTCCTGAAACAAGTATATAATATGGACAAGCTAAGAAGAAATATTTTAAGTCACTTATTTTATAATTAAAGATATCAAAATAGAGTAGAGTATAATCTGCAGATTTAGATATTTTCATTTTAATAAATTGATCATCCATAAGTTTAATCATATTAGATTAATTAAAGTATTCTATGATTCTCAAATATTTTTTTTTTTTTAAATATGTTAGAATCATCCAATATAATGGATAATAAAGGAAGGAAGCAAAGATTAATAAAATTTTTTCTTATTTTTTCCATTCTGCAAATTTATTGATTTTATTAGCAAATCTTTTATATTCTTCTAGATCCATAAGATATTCAATTCCAGATTCAGGATGTGATGGTAATTTCCAAGGATTATGTAATGAATTGTTTCCTAATAGAGTGATTCTATGAACATGATACATAAGATCGATTAATTAAAAGTTAGGATTTTTCATTAATTCATCAGTTAATAGATGATCAATGGTCATATATCTAGTAGCAGATTCAAAATCGAAAGGTAATTTTTCATATTTGATTTCTTTCATTCTATACATTCTTCTAATAATATATCCAAAAGATACAAGTAAAAATAATGTAAGATATAAAAATAGATTAAGTAGACTAGAAGTGATGTTTGAGATAAATGTAATAGGATCACAATAAAATTCAATGCAAACTTTATCATTACAAGAAGGCCATTAATCAAAAGATGGTCCAAATAAAACTCCTGGACATTTGAAGCAATGTCCTCTTTTAGCAAATGATATTGAATTAGTAGGACATTGAATACATTATAAATTGATTAGATGAGATCCATCTTAACAAGGAAGAAATTGTATTGTACCATTTGATCCTTATTATTATTTTCTAAATCCAGTTCTAACATCAATTTTAAGTTCTGAAGTTGATAATACTTCTCCTTAAATAAGAACTATTCCACCTCCTCCTTCCCCTACTTCATTAGATATATCTGAATTGCCTCCTTTTGCTTAAATATTTCCATTACCATCAATATATTTAGATACTATATGAATTGCTCCTCCACCTCCACCACCATATTATGTTTAAATATCAATCATATCTCCATCCACTCCATTACAAAGTAAATCACCTTTTATTAATATTAAATATAAGGATTAAAGTTATATTATACCACCACCACTACCAATTGATATTGTTCCTGCACCTCCACTTCCACTTCTTAAATAATTACCATTATTATAAGGTCTAGATTTTATGAATTATTTTGAAGTCTTTTCTAAAGCTTCACATTATTTACTTCTACTCCCTCCTCCTCCTTATCCTGCTGATGATCCACCTCCACTTAAACAATTTAATCCTTCTATCGTAAATATTGGAGCCTTTCCCACTCCTTAATTTGTATAACAATCAAAAGGAGATTCTATTATTCCTTCTATTATTGTATTATTAGAATATATTATTATACTAGATGCAATTATATGTGATTATTTATCTATTGTTACATTACTTATTGAAACTATCTTTAAATTATAAGCCACTTATAAATCATGATTCATAATACATTTTGGATTTAAACTAATCAACTTACTATTCTCTATTTCAACATAACCTTAGCGAGAAACTATTTCTATTTAATCAATATTTATATAACCATCTTTTATCTTTATTTTGTTTTCTGATTAGATTAATATTTCACTATGATTCATTAATTTTCTCAAATCTCCTACTATTAAAATTGTCTCTTCAGATGAAAACTAATATTGACTAGTATTTTTATTTTGTAAGGTCACATTTTCTAATTAAATGTATTAAGCATAAATTTTTGTGATATCACAATCTGTAATATTGGAATTGTTTAAGTAGAGTTGTTAAATATTCAAAATGAATAGATTGTTTTTGCAAACAAAATTAGTTTATGACATATCGACAATTTAACATTATTCTGGTATATAAGAGATGACTTCTTGATAATAGGTACAATTTTAAATTTAAAATCGATTGACATGATTTTAGTTAATTTTTTGACAAGCAACTAGTACCAATAGAAAAAGGATAACAAAATATTAGACTTGTTACATGCAAAGTTTAATTTTAGAAAATATAATAATTATATATATATATTTTTAATATCTATGGAAACAAATGGGGTTTCTCAATTTTAAATGAACTTTTTATATGTTTCTGCATTCCTTCTAAGTATATTAGCAAGAGGTCCCAATAATCTAAGGAAGGAATGATTATCGAGATAGACTACATTACAATCAGTCTATAAGTGATATGATAATTTACTTGAGCTTTAACAGTAGCCTATCTTGGAACATTGTTAATCAAAGCTAATTCTCCAAAATAATCACCTGCTTTATATTTTAAGACTTCCACCTATTATCCATCAACTTCTCTATAAGCTATAAGAGTTCCTTCTGCAACCATATAAAATTTATCTCCTTCTTCTCCTTCTTTAATTATGATATCTCCTGCTTTATAATGAGTATCTTTCAATCCATCACAAACTTAAGTTTTTTCATATGCATCCATAGATTATAGTAATTCAACTTTAGACAAAACTTCTTCATATTATTCTCTCCTTTTTATTGTAGCATCTTTTACAATATTATTAAAAGTGCTTCTATCTAAAGCAAATAAAAGTGCATCATTTTTAGCTTATATTGAAGCAGCTCTAGGAGCATTATATAAAAGTGCTAATTCCCCAAACATATCACCAGGAACATATTCCTTTAAAAACTTTGGTTCTGTATCTTAAAGATTCATTGTTTTAAAACATTTTAATTCACCAGAATATACTATATAAAGTTCATTACCATCATCTCCTTATTTTATAACCCATTCATTTTATTAATAATGTTTCTCTTCCATTGCATCTACTACTATTCTTTTCTCATTCTCACCAAGAGCTTAAAACATGAATACATTCATTAACTTTTCTAAAATTCGCTCTTTTTATTATTCTGTCTTCTCTATTACTCTTGGTTTAAAATTCTCTTTCTTATTATAAACACCAAACACTTCTGCACTTACAGAACTTCTAAATACTTTATTATTTTTCAATGGTTAAGGCAATTCATCTATCTCTTCATTTCCATCATCTTCTGATGATATATTATATTCAACTATTAAACTCTCTCTTGCATGTCTGCTTAATTTTATCAATTATAAATATTCAATCATCCAATCAACCTTTTTTATTATCAAAATATTTTTATACATAATTCTCTGGTTAATGTTTAAAAAGCTCATATACCATTTTCTAAATCACTTCATTTACTTTCTCTTTATACTTCGCTAACTTTTCTTTATTATTCATATTTATAATTTATATATAAACATTTTTGTAACTGTTTCATAACAATCTATTTTTTGAATACCATTCTAGTATAAAATCATATCACTCTCAATTTTAACATTTTGAACTTAGTTTTATATATTTATTTTTTCATATTATTCATTTATATAGCAATATTAAATTAAAAACAATAACATGGATTATTTAAACTTTCATTTTTATTATACTATTTCATTTCATCAAATGTTTATCTACTATATTATTTAATTTATTAATAATAAGAACACTTTTAAGATTTTTTAGTTTATTTTTTTATAATTAAATTTATTTAATCACAATTATTAAGTCATAGTTAGATTATTTAATCTGATTATTTTAGCTACTATTATTATTTTAAATAGATATCGGTTGGAAAATAAATTAAAAGACTGAATAAAAATAATCCAAATGCTTGTTTGTATCTTCTTTGACTAAATTTTGTTGTAGCCCAAATATATGGTATCAATGTAACCAAAGTTGGTACAATTGCATATATATCTTCTATTACTGCTTTAATTGTATTATTCAAAAGATTAAATAATAAAAAATATACCATTAATCTAAAACAGTCTTATCTTGAAATTATATAAAAAAGACTATTAGTTTTCTTAATTGTGGGCACTCCTGCCCATGAAAATTGAGCACACAACACTATCAAATTTATTGAACTGTAATCAAATAAATTCTAATCTATAAAATTATTATTTACACTAAATTATCCACTTCCTTTTATAGCTATATCACCATTTATTAATAACACATTTGTTGTTATAAATAAACTAAGCATGCTTTATAATCCTTTATCACTTAATATATAATAAAGTGAACATTCTATTAACCAAATTAATATCAATCCAATTAGCATTTGAATGCTAGCCATTGTAAATTCCATAAAATATATTATAAAGTAAGCCAATATAGATATCAATCCCAATAAAGAACAAATTAATTCTACAATCATTTTTAATGAATTCTTTTTTGTTTTTGGATTTTATTCAAAAACATTTAAAAAGAATCCCAAAAAATTTACAAATCCTATTACTGCACAATAATGAATAAATCTTTCTTAATTATATTCACTTTTCTAATCCTTATAGTACACATAAAGCAAAGCAGAAATCTAACTTAACATTTTTTCTATTTTTATTTATTAGTTTCTGTAATTATTATTTATTTTCCATAAAAGAACCTGCTTAAATATGATCTTGAATAATTAAAATAAATTTAGATATTGATAAAAGAAATCATCTTTCATTTAAAAAATGACCTTAGGATCTTGTTCAATTAACAATCATTTCTTTTGATTAGTTTTAGAGTTTTTAAAAGAAAATGTTATTTTATTATCCTTTTTAAGAAATTTAAAAAAAAAACAGGCTCGATAACAGTAAATTAAAAGACAATAACTCTCTACATAAAATCCACTGTATAAAATTGAAAATAACTAAAAATTATATATACTATTGATTTCTAATTTTATTAGAATAAATAATTTGATTAAAAAAGAATAGCCTCTAAAACTTATAGAAATTAATGTTTTATTTGATAATCAAGTTTTTTAGAAAAAGAAAATTCAATGCAAATCATTTGAATTTAAAAGATAAAAGAAATATATCCAAAATTATAAAAAATATCTTAGATATAGTTTTCGATTCATCCTGATATCCACAATTAAGAAGAAACAACAATCAATAAAAATTTCAAAATGAAGTTTTATAATAAATAATTGACTTGATTTTACTCTTTAGTCATAGAACTACACAACAATAAAAAAAGATATTTTAAAATCTGAAAAATAAGTGAAGCAAGATGCGATCATAAGTTTTGAAAATATTTGAAGGTTAAATTTTCTCAATTTATATAAATTACCTATCATATTTTAACAAGATATCTAATCATTTAACAAATTTCGAATTATTTATAAATGAGAATTGAACAATATTCTAATAATCATATTGATTTTGAGAATACTCAATATAAATCATTTAAAATAATTTCAGGGCATTGTTGGTTTTTTCGAGATTATTAATTAGGAGCAATCTTTATGTTAAAATTTGAAAACTTTTAGTTATAATTTATATCAACAAATTCTCATGTCCCCCAAAAATTAAAATATTTGATCATTCATATCCTATTTCCTTATGAATTTCTAAAAGTCATTTTTATAATATTTTTAATTATGAGCAAATATTGAATTCCATATAGAAAATCTTATCAAATTCATTTTATTCTCCACTAATTTCTTTTATTACTTTTCATTAATTTTAAATTAGCCAAAATAAATTAATTTTAGGTCTTCTTTAACATCTAAATTTATAAATGAATAATCTAAAAAATTCTCATAAATATTAATCCATTATGATTTAGATAGTACTAAAAATGTAATCAATAATAATTTCAATTAGAATTAAAAACGAATATATTTCAAATTTATGAGTTATTTAGTATTCTAGTAACACTAAGCCTATTATTATTGAAAACATTAGACTTATCAATGTTTTGATATTGTTAAGGACTATACATGTTCTTGCTATAGTTTTGTTGTTCTTCAATTTGACTTGCACTTATATACTTACTTTAATGTTAATTATGATCTTAAGAAGAATTGAGAGATGACTATTTTATTATGAATAATATACTTATTTTGTTATATCATTGTAACCTTAAGGAATATATCGTTTCCTCTCTAGAAAATCATTCTAAAAGAATGTTTTTAGCTCTTCATTTGGATTAAACATAGAAAATGTACTGCTTACTGAACTTCTATTGAAATCATTCGATTTTTTAAAGTCACTCTCTTCTTATTTTCCTACACTTTATGGTCTTATTTAATTTTTTTATTTAGGAGAATATTAATCAAGTATTTATTACTTTTATTTGCTGTAAATTAATATATCATCCTATATTTATGGATTCACTATGAAATTGCTTACACGATTTGAATTCGTCATTGAAACAGATCCTTAAAACTATTTTAATGGGTTTAAACCTTGAGATTTAGATTCTGAATCTAATACTGGTGAAATTTACTGATGTTATTATTATTTATAAAAACTATTATTTGAAAAAGTTCTTTTGTTTACTTAATCATTAATTTCTTAACTTTTAGTTTAGCTATGCTCAGGTTAAATATCATCTGTAAATTTATTTATTTTATCAGATGAATTAATAAAAGATCTTCTATCACTTGCAACATCTAATAAATGCTATTTGTATATTTTCTTATCTTAATCTAGTAAGGCTTTAATTTTAGAGACAGCTTAATTATTTTGTTAGACTTTCTGTTATCTATAAGATCCTCTTCCTTTTGATGAAGCTGAATGACTACTTTAATGTTTTAATAAAGTGAAACTCTCCTCTTCAACAGTTTCTAAATTTTTTTTACAATATTGCTTTTATTAATTTTTATATTTTGGAGATTTACTTGGAGATCTTGATTAACTATTTGGAGATTTTTAAGGTTATATTAAATGTTTTTAGCTTGGCTAAGGTTAAGCAAAAGTTTAATTAGTATTATGTGATTAGTGATCACTCTATCTTGTATTTGATTAATAGGAAACTTATGATTATTATAATTATTAAACTTATGTTGCTTATTATTGATAAAATGTTTATTATTGGAAAGTATTTGATTATTATTATTATTATGATTATTATTATGATTATTATTATGATTATTATGATTATTATGATTATGATGATTATTATTATAATTATTATTAATACTATGATAACTAACTATTTTAAAGATTTGAATATTAAAGAACCTAAGGAATATGATGTTCTCTTATAGGAATATTCTCAGTATCTTCATATGTAGGATGTTCTTCTGTATCTATATGCTGATATTCTATCTAATTATTTTTTTTGAAAAGCTAATCATTATTCATTTTACTAGGTTTTGGAGGTTTTTCTTTAATTTAATTATCTCTCATTATTGATTTAATCTCTGTATCATCTAAATGATGTTTAGAAATTGTTATGTTAATTTAATTGATAGTTTAGGGTATTGTTTCTGTGATTTTAGGGGTTATTTCTTTTGTTTTTTTTTATATCAATTATTATTATTATTTATAGCCAACTGATAGAGACCTTTTTCTCTCATCATATTGTGGAGATATATTTTATAATATTATTCTATCATGACTTCTTTATGTTTGTTTTTAACTCAAATAAATGAAAATTTTACATTATTGAGTTATTTTATTATATTTACTATGTCAACTTATTTATTTCATCTTTTAAATGATCTAATTCTTCTCTTACATCACATGGTTATTAAGCAAAATCTAATCTACCAGTTGCTTACAATTTATCTAATTAAATATTTGATATACTTGAATAATCTATTATTTCTTGTATTTTAGGTTTACCATTTATGAGAAAACCCTTTTTTATTAACTTATCAAATCCAATAATAAACACACATTTAATCAATGTTTCTTAATACTGATTTGGCATTAGATTAATTAAGGATTATACTAGTTTTCCTTTCATTTTACTTTTGAATTTTCGTTATATAAAATTTTTATTGTTAAATTAAATTCATTACTTATACAAATTTTATAAATCTTTGATAATAAGTTTATTTATAGGTTTCCTAAAATGATTCAATAACACTTAATAAGGAATTTCATTTAACTAAGTTAATTAATGAATGAAAATAAAATTAAAAATGAATTAAATATTATGTTGATTTATCAAAGGCTATTAATATTTATTAAATTAAATTTTACAATCATGAATAAATATAAATAATATTCATTTGATTTAAAATTTTTGATACTATTATTTTGAAAAATTATTCATATAAATTAAGATTAATATATTTAAATGTTTAGTAAATTTTATAAATGATAATTTATAAATTAACAAATCAACTACTATTTAAGCAATCATTTGTTATCAAAAAAGAAATCTGGCTATGAGGAAATATCTTTAGAAAAATCAGATTCGTCTAATATTTTATCAAGTTCCCTATAAATAATAATTTAACAATACATAAAATTTTCAGCCTTTTATGGACTTTCTCTTGATGATATCTAATTCTATTATTATAATGAAGCCCTATTTGAACCTTAGGAGGATCGTGATTTACTTGATCTATTTAAGAAAAATCTAGTTGCATCATTCATTCCTAATTTTTTTTGTACTTTTATAGGACTATTCTATTATTCCAAAGCAGAAATATATTATTCAATTTAATGTATAATTTAGCTAGCATCATCATTTTCTTAAATTTATAATTTGAAAAGTTATTAAAGTCTGATAACCAATTCTTGATTCTTCTATTTTAATTATAGATTTGTTGCAGAAAATTAAGCAATCTATAATTTACTTATTCTTAATTCATCATTAAGACGATTTATTTATTATTTAAATTTGTTTTCTTCAACTTATTCTCTATCTGCACCAGGTGATGCCTTACAAATTCTTTCTTTTGATTTCTCCACTTAATCTTACATATTTTTGAGTGATTCATTATAAAAGTTTATTTTAGCTATATCATTTTCTTGCTATTCAACTAGTTTATGATGATCATCTTCCAATTCTAAATATAATTTAATATAATACTCAAATATTTCGATAATAATATGTCATATTTTTTCTAAATTTCATCATTTGAAATATGAGTGCTTTCAATAATCTTTCTTTAATCATCAAATGCTTAAAGCTAAGAGTTTAATTGATTTTCAATATTATGATTATGATTTTTGAGACCTATAATTATATTCTAATAATACATTAATTCTCATTTTCTAATTTTCTTAACTTTTAATTTATTTATTCTAATTCTTTTTATTTATTATTGTTATCTATATCAAGGGCTATTAATCTTGATTATAAGTTCTCCAATTCTAGTTTCATTTCTTCAATTTCTTCTTCTTTACTTTCTAAATCTTTATTAAAGTTTTCTTTCATTTATAAAAATTTGATTTATTCTTTGTAATCCTATTCTATTAGGTCAAATTTAATTTGATTATCTATGTTAATATTAATATCTTACTCTAATAATGATCTTATGATCCACTACTTCTTAAACCTCTTGTTGGTCTTGGATTTCTAATTTTAATTTCCTAACTTTAAAGTTACAAACGAGGGATCTATAATTATTACATATTTTAAATTTCATCAATTTCATTTTCTTACTCTTAAATAGACCTAACAAATCTTCCTTCCTCATGAGTTTACACTAAATTAATATAAATAATTACATCTTTCTTCAACATTTGATTATTAATTATCCTAACTTGATTCATATTAATTTTATATATTGAAACTTCTTTCAGATGTTTTTGGTTCATAATCAGAAGATTTTATTGCCAATTGTGTTTATAAATCTAATTAAAATATAATCTCTTACATTGAAGAATGCTATCTCTAATTGAAATTGCTTCAAAAAATTTAGCTTTTTATTCATTTAATTTAGCTGCAAGCTCATATTTGTCTTGTTCTAATTAAAGTATTATGTTTTTAAAATCACTAGATTAATCAAATTCCTTTAAATCTTCTCCCAATTAAGGTCGTATCTATTTCAGTTCTTTCTTAACTTATTCTAATTGATTTTAGAAACAAGCAATTATTTCTTATTGTTATTTTTAAACCTTAATATTATTATCTAATTAAGCTTCTTAATTAATTAGTTTTAGATTTTATTATTAAATTATTTATTATAAATCTATTACAATTGACTTCTTACTTCCAATAGATTCTTACAAATTTTATATCTATTCCATATCTTAAATAAATAATTCTTAATTATTCCCTTATTCCATCTCTTATTCAGCCACTTCCTCTTTAACATCTTAAGATTCCTAATCTAACTCAGTATTTATTAATTATTCATTTTTTTATATTGATTTTTATATGTCAGGCTATGCTATTTCTTCATTTTTTGATAGATTTATTTATATGCTTTTTTCTAGCTCATCTTCCTCCTGTAGTATCGAATTGACTTATCTCTCGTATTCAAACTAAGAAATTTAAATATTTTAAAGATTTTCTTATTCTGAGTCTTCTTCATTCAAAATTTAATCTAAATCAACTGAACTTATCCTAAAATAAATTTTATATTTACATTTCCTCTTGTACAATTTCTTTATCCTTTGATTAAATCAAACTTTGAGCTTATGATTGTTTTGATTTCGATTCTGTTTCATTTTACACTTTTGGACTTTTTCCTAATAAATATCTTGTTGTATCTGATAAACCAATTGTTTTTTTCTTTGGTTATAATTATGTAATCCCTTCTAATTATTCTTCAAAATAATTAAGCAATTCTTAAACATCAGCTTTTTAATCAAATGGAATATTTAAAATTCTTCTCAATCTATCTGAAATTTCCTTTTAAACCTATTTTAATTATGAATTTGTGGATAAAAATTATGATATCTAAAGTTTGCTTAATTTAATTTCCTCATTCAATCTATTTATTAACTTCTTGTATTTATCCTCATCTCCCAAAATAGATATATTATCCACTTATGGAGAGTTTACTTAAGAATATGATTGAATATTTTATTTAGACTTTTCTAATTATTTTTGAAGGACTGAAATATCAATAATTAAATACTTTTCATTTATTCTTCATACTAATTATTAAGTTCTTGTTATTCACTCAAACTCTAATTATTTTATTATAAAATTTTAATCTCTTCTTTTTACTAACTTATTTCATAATTTTTTTCTATTATATTTAAATTTAATACTTATTAATTCTTATGTCATATCCTCTATCTAATTAATATACTATAATTATGATTTTTGCAATTATTCTAATGATCGCTTATATAATTCCTATTCATTATCAAAGTCTAAAATATTCAAATAATATATATACATCTATTCTTTTGTTAAATCTAATCGTTTAGATTTTAAATTTCATTTGTGTTTGAGGTAATGATCTTACTCATTTAATCATTGAAATCTATCAAATATTATTAATAACAGTTACTTTCTAAAGATGTTATTTTTTCTAAAAGTGTATCATTAACATTAATAACAGGTCGATTTTTTTGTTATTACTTCAAATCAAATGAAAGTAAATCTATTTCTTATTAAAGATGTTATATCTTTTATTGAGCTTTGCGACTCATTTAGTCTAACTACTACTATTGATCTTTTATAACCATTTTAAGTTCCTCTGGGTTATCTAGTTCTATAGAATATCTTTAATCAGATATAAGTATATTTTAGAAAATCTCTTATTACTCTGTGATAATATTGTTCACTTCTTAAGTTTAGAATTGTTTTTAATCAGTTTAAAGACCTAATATGATAATAATAAAATACATAATATTATTTTATCGTGAGCTAATATCAAATCAATAAAATCTTTTGTTAATTTTGTATTTTGTTATCTAGTACTCTATAATGCTTCATTGAGAGAATGATTATCACTTTGTAATTATTCTATTTGTTGCTATAATTGCTTTGCCGATGATTCTATATATATATTATAATTATAATACCAGATAATGTATTTAATAATTAAGTAGGTTATATATAATTTTATTTATTCTGAGTATCCTATGAATAACTCTATTGTGTTGGGAAATCTAATTGTAATTATTATATATAAGCATTTTCTTTTAATTAAATGGGTTCAAAATTTGGTTTAAGTAATTTAATAAGATCTAAATAATTAAAAATGTAATACTTTTTAATTCAGTATTTTATAATAAACATAGATTTTCAGCCTCTCTTAAATCTAAACTCATAAAGCCTTTTTCTATAAGAAGATCATTTGCTGTATTAAATAATATTTAAAGTCGCTATAAATAAGTAAAACTAAGTTATGCAAAGGTAAGTATTTAATTAAAGGTTTCTTAGTTATGTTGAGTTTAATTTTAAAACAGAGTTATTTGTTACTTTTATAGTTCTAGTTGTTTTTCATTATCAGATAAGATACTTTAAAATTAATTTTAATTATATTCTAACTCATTAATGTATTATTCTTTTTATTTATAAGAGATTTTTAAACTTTATAATTATTCATTAAGCTAAATTAGAATCAAATCTAATTCATTTTTAACTTATTATAGATATTATTTATCTTATTATAAGGTAAGTAGTTATTGATTTGATAAATTTATATTCTATTCATATTCTTATTTTTTTAATTTGAGTTATAATATATCTTATTCATAGTTAGAGATTAAATCAATCATTTTAATGACATTCTATTTTTGTTCTTATTTGATTTATTCTAAGTTAGATAGTTGTTCATTTAATTGAATAATGTTCTATTTTTATTCTTCTTTGACTTATTGTAAGTTAGATACTTGGTCATTTAATTGATTAATGTTCTATTCTTATTCTTGTTTGACTTATTCTAAATTAGATACTTGTTCATTCAA